TTTCTAGTTGTGGATTCTTTTAATGTTTGTTTTTACTATCAAAGGTTTTTATTTCATCATCAATTCTAAAGCTTAATTTTGTAGGTTATAGTATTCTTGGTCGGCATCCATCTTCTCTCAGACCTCCTAGCTTTAAGGATTTAGGCTAAAAAATCAGCTGAAATCTAGATTGGTTTCCCTCTAAATGTGACCTGTCATTTTTCTATGGTAGCATTTAAAATTCTATCCTTATTCTGTATGTTAGGCATTTTCATAATAATGTGCCTTGGTGTGGGTCTGTTGAAATTTTGTATATTTGGGTCCTATAAGCCTCCTGTATTTGATTTTCCGTTTCATGCTTTAGATTTGGGAAAATTTCAGTTATTATTTCATTAAAAGATTTGGTTTGTATCTCTGAGTCTTTATCTATCTCAATAAATCTTAAATTTGATCTTTTCAGGTTATCCCATATTTCTGAGAAGTTCTGTTCATGTTCATGTTCTCTTAACATCTTTTCTCCATGGTCAATCTTGTTTTCAAGATTATATATTTTGTGTTCATTGCCTGAAATTCTGTCTTCTAAGTGGTCTAGTCTGTTGGTGATGCTTTCAATTGAATTTTTAATTTGATTTATTGATTCTTCCATTTTGAGGATTTCTGTTAGTTTTTTTTCCCCAGAATCTCTATATTTATATTTTTATTGACGTGACCTTTTGCTTCCTGTATTTTCTCCCTTACATTGTCCTTTACCTCACAGATCAATTTAATTATGAGCATTCTAAACTCATTTTCTTAATATTTCTTCCACTGTGGTGTCGATGGATTCTGTATTTTGGTTAGTTTGGGTGATTTGTTCCCTTGCTTTTTCATGTTATTTGTGTGTGTAACCATCTAGCATTGGTTTTGAGGCAGTAGAGTTTCTACCCTGTGGACTTAATAGTGTCCCAATTAATTAATTAATTAATTATGATTCTAGTACCTCACAGCTAAGCAAGAGACAGATACAAACAACAGCCAATGCAAATAACTTACACATCATTAAACCAAACAGTTCTTGTTATATAATCTACACTGTTGATTGTCACAATAATCAGAAATTATATCATCAGTTATTGCCCATGGTATAACAGTAAGTTTTCAAAAAGGTTTACACTTTCATGTAGTGGAAAGGGATAGAACAGAAGTGATGTAGGATGTGATGATTATGAGGGAGGAGGAGAGAAAATAGAAGCAAAACATTAAAGAAAAAGTAAATTAACAGAGATTGACTGTTAGCAGAGGAAAAGAGAGAAGATTCAAGGGAAGCAGGTAAGTGAGAGGAAAAATATGTATAAAATAAAAATTAAATTAAAATAAAGACATAAAAGAATATAAGAACAAAATTGATGTATACTAATCAAACATGTTAGCCCTTCAAAATACTGACTCATGAAAAATAAGTGTAGAAAAAAATAGAAATGAGAAAAAATAAACAGATATGAATATGTGTAAGTAGCCAGTTAAAGATAGAGTGAATTAAGAGTAAAGATGAAGAAGTGGGGCAGGGTAGAATAAGATTTCAATAGGTGAAGAGGGTAAATGAAGAAGCAATGTAGGATGTGTTTATTAGGGAGAAGCGGGGGAGTAAAAGAATTAAAGGAAGAGTGAAAGTGAGAACAATAGAGTTTGGCTGTTAAGAAACAAAGAGAAACAGAGTTGTGAAACAGACAATAAAAAATCAATCCAAAATATAGTAACCTCAAAAAAAACAGAGCATGGAAAAATAACTGCCTTAAAGAAGTGCTAAAAATGAAAAAGCAGAAACAAATATACATGTATATAAATGTATAAATGTTCATCATGTATGAATTAGTACACATTCAAAAACAAAACAAAACAAAATAACAGAATAGTCAAGGAGAGTATATGCACACTATCTATGCCAAACTGTCTTTACATTTCTCAGTTTCCCTTCTCAGCAGGGTGGTGTAAGGAGCTGTGGAAGATACTTTTGGCTTCCCTTCCAGGGTATAGTTGCTGTTGGGTTCTATAAGATAAGTTTCTGCAAGTGAAGCTCTCAGGGGTGGGGCTTAGGTCTCATATTGCTCCAGGTGTTTTATTGCTTGGGGAGTTATCGGGCCTTAATGAATCAATACACACCTAGGCCTGTACCCCACTACTCTCCCCAGGGCATCAGTCATGGGAAGGAGAGTCAGTACTATGCCCATCCTGTTGTTTGGAGATACTGCCTTTTTTGGCTTCCCAAGGATTGTTTAGCACTGAGCTCAGTCACTCAGCCCATTCAGATTCTCCCCGGTTCTGCGCGCTGCCAGGTTCAAGGGAGCGGGGAGGGCAGGCTTTCTCCAGGCGTCTCTGATCTGTATTATCCCTAGACAAAATGGTCTCTATGCCAGAAAATCTTTGACAGAGATTATCCTGATTTACTAGACTCATTTTAGATCTCACGGTTAGTGTCTGCTGGATTCATGTGTCTCAGCCCTGAACTCAAGGATCTAAGTTCCTAGTGTGAGTTGGTGCTGTTGTCGCATGCTTGGAGGTACCAATGTCTTCAGCTTGGGTTCCCTGTGCACAGCAGGCAGAATCATGTGACTTTAGTGCACCAGTTTAATAAGCCAAATATTCTGGGTTCAGGGCAGACTGGCCTTCTGCTCCTGGGACTCCCCACACCAAGACTTTCCTAGCACTTTTTAGTCTTTTCCAACCTTGTGTGTTAATTTTCCCTGTTCCTGCCAGAAGCTCAGCTCCAAATCTATTCCTTATCCTTTTCTGATGTACCTACATTTCCCACTCTTCAAGGCTCTCTGTCCAATACTGAATATAGTGGAGTGCTTTTTTCATTCACCTCACAGAGAAGTAGTTTTCTAGCTACTTGAGTCCCGAGTCATGAAGCTGTGAAAAAAGCCTCTTCCTGTTTATCTGCCAATTTGTCCTAGCATGTCCATCTCATATGTATCTCAGTTAGCTGAGATAATAATTTCCAAAAGTACTTGTAATGTTATTCTTTTTTATCCATAGGAATAAGCATTTGTATAGAAATCATGTAGCAAATAAAAGAGGCAGTTTTGATAGTTTTAATATTTTGTGTTAAGAAATTTTTATATATTCATATTTTATTTATTATATATAAGAGAAATTTTCATATTCGATATTAACATTAAAATTTGATTTTTACACAAATTTGTAACTGAATAATCTAGACTAGTAAATATAGATTTAAATTTATGTTAATTAACTTATAAAAAGCATTGGAACATTAGGGGCTGGGATTGTGCCTCAGTGGTAGAGTGCTCGTCTGCACGTGTGACAACTTGGGTTCCATGCTCAGCACCACATAAAAATAAATAAGTAAAATAAAGGTATTGTGTTTAACTACAATTAAAAAATAAACATTAAAAAAATAAAAAAGCATTGGAATATTAAAGAAAATTTAAAATTTGTCATATTTCAATTTTTTAATTTATGAAATTAATAAGACTACTTTAAATAATTGAGATTTGATTGTCTATAAAACAACTGAAGTACTTAAAATCCAATATTTTAAATGTATAAAAATTTTAAAATGTTTATTGGTACATAATTATTTATAACAACATCTTCATACATGCACATAATTTGATCAATTTCATTCTTTGGTACTTCCCCTTTTGCTCCTCCCTCCTCCTTCCACCTGATTTTCTTCCTCTAGTCCATGGGTCTCCTTCTATTTTATAAGATCCCCCCAGCCCACCCCTGCCAGTTTCTACATGCAAGAGAAAAATACAACCCTTTTTATTTGAATCTGGCCTATTTTTCTTAACATGATGCTCTCCAGTTCCATCCATTTTCCTGAAAATGATATTTTTTTAATTCATTTTTATGGCTGAATAAAATTACATTGTTTATATAAACCACATTAACAAAATTTAACTGTTTCAAAATCTCACATAAAATGATTATTAAAATCTACATTACTAACTTGTAGAAAAAGTCAACCAATTTTTTACAATGATAAAATTGTAAAACAGGAATTCACAGAAAAGGAAAATATAATATCAAAAAATTTATGAAGCAACATTCATTCTCACTGATAATGAAGAAATATGCAACTGAAATTACATAAGCTACTAGTTCACATTGATTGAATTTATAAAAATTAAAGTATTAGCCAATATCGAGTACTAGCAAAGCTATAGAGAATTAGAAACTCTGAGACAAGGGTAATGGGAATATATAAATTATAAGAGCCTCTTTGGACAGCATTTCAATAAAACAGAAAATTCAAATACTATGGAAGCCAGTGATGCCAGAGAATCACATCCTGCATGTATAAGATATCAATGTCAGTGATATATAATGACAAGAAATGAATCAACATGCTAATACTCACAGGTATCTCTTCCACCTCTATGCATATCATACATTAATAAACATTTTAAACAGTATAAACACCCTTTTTACCACCCCAAGTTCAGAGTTTGTGGACCAGTTCATAGAGTTCTTGTGAAATAGAACCAAAAGAATCATAGAAATTTAGAGAGAGAGAGAGAGAGAGAGAGAGATTGATTTAAGCCTTGAGCTCCATTTAGGATTTGAGGGATATGAACAGAAAAAGAAAATAATGCTATGTAAACAGAAACAAATGTCTATTTCAGGAACATGTCTATTTCAGAAACAAATGTCTATTTCAGCAATATCTAAAACTATGGTTATATCACATAAAAATCTTTGAACATGTACAATAACCACTTTAGCTATACTTAACAATTACTAAGTCCTGACCGCATACTCAGCACAATTCTAATTTCTTACAGATAATGTTTATAATTTGTATGTTCAGCTATATTATTATTCTTCAAAATCTATCTTTTACAAACCAAAAAAATAAGGCTGACAGAAAATCTAAGCCTACTAGGTAGCAACTCTTGGAATCTATGTCCTTTCCATTATACTACACTAAAGATACTTAAAAATGATATATCCATTGCATGTTACAAAGTTACAACTGAATAGATTAATAAAACACAAATTAAATTGAGTCTTACTCGGCCAGAGTCCAAAGCAGTAGGCATATTTCTCAGTTCATACACAGCGACTTGTCCATCACTGTCTCCCACTAGCAGACAATCTGTTTGTTTGGCAAAGAGAATAGTTGTGAATTTGATTCCAGGGTTAGCCACATTCACAATCAGAGGGTCCAAACTGTAATGAAACATTTTATTTAAAAATTCAGTTGTTATATTAAAATGGTATTTGTTAACATACAAACTAAGAAAAGTTCCAGATTTCTTTTTTTTTTAACTTCATGTAAAAAAAAAAAAACCTTCAAAAGCCTCATCAGTGTTCTTGTGCACACCTATAATCTCAGTGACTAGGGAGGCTGAGGCAGGAGGATCTCAAGTTCAGAGCCACACCTCAGCAACTTAGTAAGGCCCTAAAAATTTTAGCAAGAACCTATTTAAAAATAAAAAGGGCTGGGAATGTGGTTCAGTAGCTAAGCAACCCTGTGTTCAATCCTGGTACTAAAATAAACAAACAATAACAACAAAAAGCCTCTTTTTTTCCAAACTCAAAATAACTATTTCACACTCTTTAATCAGACTGTTCTTTGGATTCAACACTGCAACAGGATTCCTGACAAAAATTCCAGCCTGCCAGACTGTCCAGCAGACTACAAACTTGCTAGAACCCATGAATATTTGAGTCAATTCCTTAAGGTACATCTATCTATCTGAATATAGAGATGGAGATGAAGATAAGTGATTGAGACAAAGGCAATCATTCTGCTGGTTCTGCTTCTCTAGAGTGCCTTGACTAACACAACTTATTAAATAACAGTTATATTTAACAGAGGAATGTATTAATCCAAAGAGGACATTCTGAACAGGACCTTTTTCTTGTGTTGGTCATTAAAAACATGCCCTCAAAAAAAGAACAGAAGTAGCTTCTAAATAAGTGTTGTCCTGGGAACCATAGTTTTACCAGAAAAATTAAAATCTGAGCTTAGAGCATTTAAATTGCTACTTTTTAATGTTAGTTATCTCCTACTCAAAAGTAATTAATTTTGTTATGTAGTCCTTGATTTTTGGTTGATACTGATTTATACAACAAATTATGACAAAAATTATAAGTTATTGAATTATTAACTTCTAGAAAATTGTTACTATTAAGAATAGACTCACTGAATAAGATTATTTATTTTAAACAAAATATACTTTCCTGTTCCTTCTGCTAATTTCCATAAAAACTTATGATACTTTCTAATGGAAACAGCAACATTAAACTTTTCATTCCAGCATGTAAAAATTTTCATATTAAGAAGAATAGATGGATCTAGATGACCTTCTATTATCCTTGGTGTAACATCTTAAATAAAAAAAAAAATAAGTACATATCCTTTTTGAAGAGTTTTGAAATAAGGTAAGAGAATAAATAAATATTGCAAAAATAATTATTTTGTCTCCTTTCTTTATATTATTGCAGAAAATCCTTAGTTAGAAATGTAAGCATGCTATGTATGATATGGCAAAATAAATCTATTGTCATGTATATCTAAAAAGAACAAATTTTAAAAAATGGGAAAAAAAATTAAGCATGCTTCCCTGGGTTCTTCTACAAACTAAGCAATGAACAGAATTTAAGGTAGTTATGATAATCTATATCAGCCTGTAAAAGTTTGAGAAAATGAGTAAACTATTTTCATTCAGATGCTTTAAAAATACATGTTATAAGTAATCAATGTTAATATCATATCTTGACACATATCTTTATTCATAAAGGACTCCTGTGAAGTAAATTATTATTATTTGTTTTAAAGTAACTATAATACTCTTTAACTGATGGCAAAACTATCAGGTACCAATTAGTTTAAACAGCTTTAAGAAAACATTAACTTACGTGCTAATGTGAAGGTCCCAAATCTCCACTCTGCTTTCATTAGCAGCTGCAAATATATAGGATGATTTTGGAGACCAGGCAACATCATAAACAACGTGAGTAGTTGGATAAAAACTCAAAAATGGTTTGAGATTCTCCTGATGCCAAATCATAACACCCCAATCTGCAGAACAGCTTAAGAATACATCATGACAAAATGGGTTCCATGTTACTTTATACACTGGGCCCTAGGAACAGAAAATTAAATACATTGGCAAATAATACTTAATATCTTACATTTAAAACTTGACTGGCAAATTAAAAATACTAAGATTTCTAGCATATTCAACATCATCCATTATTGCATGGGTATTATTTAAGCTGAGAAGAATAAGATCATAAATTTAATCCTCCCTTAATTAGTCCATATAGAGATGTAAAAATACAGTGGTATCATTAAATATTAATATATTATACTTTCTTTAAAAAAATAACAAGTAGTATTAAGAAAAATCGAGAAATGAAGGAGAAAAGGAAAGAAATGTGAATTGAAAAATGATAAATATATACAGAGATTAGGTATGGGCAAGAGGCAGTTTTACTTTGGGATCAATATAGTATCATAAGTCTTTTAGAAATGAACAGTGTCACTTCCATAACTTGCAAGAAAAAAAATCAATGATAACAAGAAGTCAAATAAAATATATCACACATTATTGGTGCTTTTTAAGAAAGCACTTAATTCAAGCTACTATTTTTACTACAAATTGTAAATTTATCGCATGTTAAATATACTATATGTAATACTATTTTTGCAGAAATACTATAAAATAAATTTCCCATACCTATTATAATTAAACTAACCTTATGTCCTCTGTAGGTTTCTAGGTATTGTTCATTATATGAACAAGAACACTTGTGAATATGACCTTCTTCAGTGCCAGCCAAATAGATATTTGTGTCCTACAACACAAGAAATCAAAATGTATTGGCCTGTGATATATTAGTGAGTGTGCTACAGATAGAAGGTGGGACAATTCAGGGTCTATTGAAATCAATTAAAAAACCAAAATAATATTGAATATAGTTGTCTATTGCCTTTTTCTTTCTGTTATATATTTATAATAATGAAATTACTGGAAATATTACAGCACAAAAGAAAATATATATGTATCCTGTACTAGAATAGAGGATATTACTTAAAATATCCTGTTTAAAAATTACATGGAGATAGGGAAGAGGGGTGGGAGGGAAAGGGAGGGGGAAGGGGATTAGCAAGGATGGTGGAATGTGATGATCATCATTATACAAAGTACATGTATGAAGACTTGAATTGGGTGTCAACATACCTTATATACAAACAGAGATATGAAAAAATTGTGATATATATATGTACTAAAAATTGTAATGCAAAAAAAGTACATGTATAATGGCATAAAAAATTACATGGAAAAACTTTGACTTAAATAAGGAAAAGACTTTTCAATGTTTAGATTTGCCTAATGATAGAGCTAACAATCTAGAGAAATGATAACTGCTTTTTTCACTGGAGATAGTCAAAAGAAAAGACAGATGACTTAACCATAAATATTTATGTATACAATGTTGAAGAAATTGTAATTACTGGGAATGAGAGGTTGAAGCAGATGGCATCTCAGACTTCTTTAACACTAAACATGTATGCTCTATAGGGATTTAAAACATCTGTGCATAGTGGGTCATGAAATGTCTTTAAAAAGGCTGAAAGTCAATACTCAACGTACTGGCTATACAGAGTTATGGTCATAGACCAACAACATTGGCATCACGTGGGAGCACTTCTGACCTGCAAATTCTCAGGCTCTACGCCAGACCTACTAACCAGAATGTGCATCTTAAAAAGATTCCCAAGTGATTTGTATGTACATTAAAATTTGATACACATGCAGTAGCATATGTAAGTATTTAAAACTGCAAGGTCAGTGTCAAAAGGTCAGTTGCCTAGTACATAAACTCTGAAATCTCATGCAAGAGGTTTATTGAGGAGTGGTCTCAGAAACAACCTCCAAGAGGGAAACAGGACTAGTCAAAGATTTAGGTTGAACTACAACTGAAGCTGAAGTTACAACAGACAGATCAGTATAACCTGTAAGAAGTTCTAGGAAGGCCCTTAAGGGACAAGAGTACTGCCTTTAGCTGGACATGATGATGCACACTTGTCATCCCAGCAATTTGACAGGCTGAGGCAAGAGAATCACAAGTTCACACCAGGCTTAGCAACTCAGCAAGACTTGTCTCAAAAGTAAAATATAAAAAGGGCTGGGATACAGCTCGGTGTTAGAGCACCCCTGGGTTCAATCCCCAATACTTCAACAAACAAACAAAACAAAAAAGCCATAAACTTGGTGGCTTAAGAGTCCTGCCATAAAGCAAGAAGGCCAGATGTTTTATATTCTCCCCCTTCCAAAAACCAATCAAGCAAGATAATATACTCAAACTTAACCATAATAAATAATGAAACTAAATGTAAGTGATTTTAACATAACAATTAAAAGGCAGAGGTTTTAAGATTCTATAAAATAAACAAGATTCAACTATATGCTGTCTACATAAAATATATTTTAAGTACAAAAACACAAATAGTTTTAAAAAAGTGATAAGAAATGAAAATCATGGTAACACATAACACTAGTTAAAAAAAATCTGGAATGGCTACATTACTATCAGACTAAGTGAATCTCATAATAAATAGCATAATAGTTATAAATATAAGTTCATAATTATAAGAGAGTTAGTTAATCAAAAAGGCATACCAATCCTAAACATGTTTGTGCATACCTAATAACAAAGCTTTATGATGCAAAAAACAAAATAGAATTGCAAGGAAAAATAGACAAATTGATGATTATGTTTAGAGAGTTCCTTTCCTCTTTCCCAGTCATTGATTGAAAAGTAGGAACAAAATCAGCAGGGAGATAGTAAATTTGAACAACACCATCAACCAACTTAATTTGATTGACATTTTTAAAACACTTCATCCAACAATAGCAGAACACATATTTTTGTCAAGTGCACAGGAATAATTGCCAATAAAGGCCACAGTCTGAAGTTTATAACATATCTGAGTTCAAAAGGATTCAATTCAGAAAAAGTATATTCTCTGATTATGGTGGGTTGGAATTAGAAAGCAATAACAAAACGACTTTTGGAAAATCATCAGATACTTAGAAACTAACATATCTTTAAATAACATACCCATTAAAGAAGAAATAAAAAGAGAAATTAGAAAGTATTTCACATAGAATGAAAATGAAAATATAAAATGTCAGAATTTGTGGGGTGCTGCTGAAGTGGCACTTAGGGGTAAAGTTATGGTACAAATGCCTATACTAGAAAATAAAGAAAAGTTGCAAATCAATGACCTCAGGTTTAATCTTAAAAAACTAGAAAAACAAGAGTAAATTAAAACTAAATAAAAAGAAGAAAGGAAATTATCAAGATAAGAGTGGAAAACAATATGTTCAGAACAGAAAAACAACAGTGAAACTCAGTTAAATCAAAACTTGGTTCTATAATATCAATAAAATTAGTAAAATTTGAGTTGAATGTGGTGGTATGATTCTATACTTCTATATACACACTATGGGAGGTTGAGGTAGAAGAACTACCAGAGCTGATGGGTTGGAGACCAGCCTGGACAACATAACACAGTGAGATCCCCAGCTTGAAAAAGAAAAGCTGATGAATTTCTAGACAGATTGATCAGGAAAAAGAGAAGGAAGATGAAAATGAAAATATAACATGTTAGAATTTGTAGGGTAATCAGAAAATTACTAATATTAGGAATTAGTTGGCATTACTACATATTCTTCAGTTATTAGAGACCAAGGAAATATTATTATGCCAATAAATAAATAGGCAAATTCCTTAAAACACACACATTCCTAAAAGTCACTCAGGAAGAAACAGATAACCATAACAATTAAAATTTTGAATTTATAATTTAAAATTTCCCTATAAAGAAAATTCCAGGCCCACATGACTGATTAATGCAATAAAATATAATAAAGAAATTATGCTATTTTATGCTAAACCTTTTTTAAAAAAGAATTCTGTGGGGCCAGTATTACCGTGATATCAAAATCAAACACATAAAAAGAAAACTTCATATCCATTTTTTTTTACAAAGATACAAAAACTTCACAACAAATTTTAGCATATTGAATCAAACAGTATATTTAAAGGGTTATAAGTCATGATCAACTGGGTTTTATTCCAGGAATAAACATTGAAAAACAATAATTAATGTAATTCATCATATTAACAAGCTTAAGAAGAAAAAATTTATATATTAACATCTGAATAGAAACAGAAAAAGCATTTATCAAAATCCAAACTAGTAATTCTTCATAAAAATTCTCCACAAACTAGTAATGTAATGGAAATTCTACAACATGATTAACTGCATCTACAAAAAGCCTTCAGTAAGTTTTATACTTTAACAGTAAAGGACTCAATGCTTTTCCCCTAAGATCAGGAATAAGACAAGATTGTGTCTGTTTTCCTCACCTCTATCCATTATTGTATCGGGAGGTTCTAACCAGTGTAATCACGCAAGAAAACAGAAATAAAAGGCAACAAGATTAGAAAGGAAGAAGAAAGACTGTCTTTATTTTCAGACCACATGATCATCTGGAATCCCTTAGCAAATGGCATTTCTAACACACTAGACTAGGGTCTCTCATCCCAGCACTATTTACATTCTGGGTCAGATAATTTTTTGTTTGGGTAGTTGCTGGTAAACAGGAGGAGGCGGGTTATTGGTACATTGTAGGATATTTAGCAGCATCCCTGTTCTCTGCCCACTAGATGCCAGTAATTCTTCTTTACCTTCACCCCACTCAGCAAGCTTTAACCACTAAAAATTTGTCCAGACAATGACAAAAGTCCCCTGGAGGAAAAATCCCCCTCTCCTTGCTCATGTTGAGAGCTACTGTTCTAGAGTCAAAATGAAGGTGTATTACAGGATTTGTGAATGAAGTCAGTAAGAAGATGGCTACAGTATAAAAGTGAAAAATAAAAAAGGCCTGAACTATATTCACAATAGTAGCCTTGATCTGGAAAAGAAGGGACAGTAAGATTTAAATATTGTTTGAACAATAGGGTAGAATAGAGAAGGAGCTCAATTTTTGTTTGCATAGTGAAGTAGAGGTGTTACTAAAAAGATGATCATATTACATGTAACAGAAAACATGGGATTTGTTTTCTGAGAAATCAAAAGTGTCTGCATTTTCTGATCCCTAAGTACTTACAAATAAGAAGAATTGAAAAAAAAAAAAAGAACTTTATTAACTATGCTCTGATTTGTCTCTGGTCTTGACAGACATGAATTCAAGAAATCTTCCTAATTCCCCAGTCCTGAAAGTGGTTACTCCCACTGAAATGCAGAGCACTATATAGATTTGGGTTGCATAAGCATAACAGAGTAGCAGAATGGCCAATAGGGGCAAGATAGGACATTGTTAATCACACACTAGTAAAGAGAATCCTTCCATAGTTTCTCAGAAATGCACACCTTTCCTCTATCTGGAAAAGGAGGTAAGGGGCATAGTATATATAGCCAACTAGACTATATATATATAGCCAACTAGACTATGCCATTCCACCTAGGGTTGACAGCTATATCCATGTTTATTTTTTCATTTTTTCATGTACAAAGCACAATATTTATTAGCATGTCAACATTTTGTCTTATTTTATATCTTAATATATTTCAATTTTTGGAAATTGTTATATGCAATAGTCAACAATGGGTTGAAACAATTCACCTTGGGATGAAAAGCAAAACACATTCCAGGAGCCTGTCGAGATATCAAAGCTTCACCTTTCTTCTCTTTTTCCCCTCCTTTCTTGTTGATGCCACCAGTAGTTCGTCTCAATCGCATCAAGTCTTTATTTAAGGAAAAAATATAATTTGTCATTAATCACATGAAAAATAGTTCAAGCATCATGTGTATCTTCTCCACAATATTATTTCTGTCATCTTTTGCATGTGATTAGGGTAAAAATAGCAAAAATTAGAACAATGAGCAAACACAGTTTTATTATTACTAGTTCATTAGGATATTTTCATTCCATACATTTCAAAACAAAGATAATGCAATGTTTATACCTTAATATATTTCAAAATATATTAATATACACATATATTTATATATGAATCACATATATGTATATATTATATATGACACATACTATTTATATACTATATTATGCTAAAAATATATGTGTATTATATATATATATATATATTATTATATATAAATATATATTACCATGACAGTCCAATCCTTTTCGTATAACCCATTTGGAGATTCTTCCATCTGCTGATATAGAAACTAGGATTTCTCTTTTGTCATCACCTGTTGTTCCTCGATCTTGTTCTATCCACTGTAGTTGCCATACAGGTCCCAAATGTTTTCGAGGTGATTCACTAAAACAGGAAAATGTCAAATATAGACTCATCATCATCATTTTTAAAAAAATTATAACTAATTTATGAATGTAATGCAAAAATAGCATGTAATATCAGCAAATGAGCTATAGACATTCATCAACATCCAATGAGATTTATTTTGAGAGCTTCAAGGTAGGATAAGGTAGTAGGATAAGTTAGTCTTGTAAAGATTTTTTTTTTATCTATGTGTATTAATGGTACAGGATAACAGATTTATTGTAGCCTAATCTTACATGCATATAACACAATTTGGTCAATTTCACTCCCCAAATACTCTCCTGACCCTCTTTTCCTCTTTCCCCTTGGTGTGCATCATCCATCATAAAGGTTGCACTTCTACTATCATAATGTTCTTTCTCTCTTTTTCCTCCTCCTTCCTTCCCATAGGAGAGAAAACATGATACTTTTCTGAGCTTGACTTATTTTGTCAACTTTATGGTCTCAAATTCTGTCCATTTTTCCATAAATGGCATAATTTTGTTCTTTGTGTGAGAAAAATACTTCCTTCTGTATAGATACCACATTGTATCATTCATCCATTGACAGGCACCTTAGCTGATTCCATGGCTTAGCTTTTGTGAATTGTGCTGTGATAAACTCAGGTATGCAGGTGTCTCTATAGTGTGCCAACTTTAATTCCTTCAATTGTATACCCAGGACTGGTACAGCTAGATCTCCTGGTAGTTCTATTTTTCAGTTTCTTGAGGAAACTATTTTCCATAGTAACTGTACTAATTTACATCCCCATGGACAGTGTGTGAGGGATCCTTTTTCCTCACACCCTCACCAGCGTCTAATAATATTTGAATTCTTGATGATTGATTGCCGTTTTCGCTGGGGCCAGATGAAATTGTATTATTTACTTCTATAGTTTCCTTATTTAGTTTTTGTTTGGAAGCTCTATCCAGTAGTGAGAGAAGTGGGTTAAAGTCACCCAGTATTATTATATTGTGGTGTATCTGACTCTTGAAATTGAGAAGAGTCTGTTTGATGTACATAGATGCTCCATTGTTTGGGGCTTAAATATTTATGATTGTTATGTCCTGCTTATATATACTCCTCTTAAGATGTATGAAATGTCCTTATTTGTCTCTTCTGATTAACTTTGGTTTATCTGAGATGAGAATCAAAAACCCTGATTGTTCAGGCAGTCCATATGAGTGATAAGTTTTTTTCCCATCCTTTCACCTCAGCCTGTGCATCCACTCAGCCCATGAGGGGAGTCTCTTGAAGGCAGCATATTTTTTGGTCTTGCTTTTTAATCCAATCTGCCAACCTATGTGTTTTGATGATGAGTTTAGGCTGTTCACATTCAAGATTATTATTGAGATATGATTTGTATTCCCTGTCATTTTGATTTATTTCTGTTTTTTGGATTTATCTTAGTTTCTCATTTGGTTGAATGTCCCTTTAGTGTAGATCCTCCCTTTGCTGGTTTTCACTTTTTTTTTTTTTTCCAATTCATTCTCATGGAATATTTTGTCAATAATACTCTGTAGTGTAGGCTTTCTAGTTGTGAATTCTTTTAATTTTTGTTGATCATGGAAGGTTTTAATTTCATCTTCAAATCTGAAACTTAATTTTGCTGGATATAAAATTCTTGGTTGGTATCCATTTTCTTTCAAAGCTTGAAAAATATTATTCCAGGACCTCCTAGCTTTGAGGGTCTGGGTTGAGAAATCAGATGAGATCCAAATTGGTTTTCCCCATAAGTAATTTGATTTTTTTCTCTCACAGCTTAATATTTTATCTTTATTCTCTGTTAGTCATTCTCATTATAATGTGTCTTGGTGTGGATCTGCTGTAATTTTGTACACTTGGGGTCTTGTAAGCCTCTTGTATTTGATTTTCCATTCCATTCTTTGGGAAATTTTCAGCTATTATATCATTGAGAAGAGTGTGCATTGTTTGGTTTGTATCTCTGCTCCTTCATCTACTCCAATGATTCTTAAATTTGGTCTTTTCATTTATCCCATAATTCTTGGATGTTCTGTTCATGGTATCTTACCATCTTCTCTGCATGGTGAACTCTACTTTCAAGATTATATATTTTGTCTTCATCGTCTGAGGTTCTGTCTTCCAAGTAGTCCAGTCTGTTGGTGAGGCTTTCTATTGAATTTATAATTTGGTTTACTGATTCCTTCATTTAGAGGATTTCTGCTTGGTTTTTTTTTTTTTTTTTCACAATCTCTAACCCTTTATTGAGGTGGCCTTTCACTTCCTGTATTTTTTCTTTGATTTCACTCATTATACTATCCTTTACTTCACATATCAGTTTAACTATGTACAATCTGAAATCCTTCTTGGACATTTCTTCTACTATGTTATCAGTGGCTTCTGTTGTTGAAACATCTTGATTTGTTTGGGGCACTTTATTCCCTTGTGTTTTCATGTTGTTAGTGTGTTTTCCCAACTAGAAGTACGGAGGCAGCATAAATTCTACCCTGTAGAACTATAGTGTCCGTAAAGGTTTCTAGCACTTCGCTTTTAGTGGTGAGAACAATATCAACAGAACCCAGTCTACACGATATACAGCCTTAATCTTAATAGCTCCCACTAAGGTGTCTACTGCTTTCTTGTATTAAACCAAAATGATAGAGTTCAGTATCTATCTACAGTACAAACAGAAAATTTGTTAAAATGGTTTACAATTTCAAATGCTGGATGAGAGAACAGAGGTAGTATGCGATATTCGTGAGGGAGGAAGAAAAAATCTAGAAGTAAAAATTCACAGGAAGAGTGCAAGAGGAGCTGACAGAGATTGGAGAAAATTTGGAAAGAAAATCCAAGAAAATAGACAAGAGAGAGGAAGAATATGAACACAGAGAAAAAATTAAAGACATTAGAATACAACAAAAATGCAAAACACCATTCTTATATCATTATCCTCCACACACTGATGCATAAAAAACATCCTGTTCCAAATATGGTAGAGAGATTAGCAAATCAAAAAATAAAATAAAATAAATCTTTCTGGAAAGTCGAACTGTCTCTGTCAGTGTTCAACAGTTTCTCAGCCCTGTCTCTGACATCTTTCAGGATTACCAAACCCAGATCAGCTCTTATAAACCCAGTCTCTATCCCACCCATCTGGGCTTCAGATACCTCAGGCTCAGCCATGCTGCAGTCCCAAGATCTCAATGCTGCTCCTACTGCAGAGAGACCACTAGGGATACACTCATGCAAAGGAGCAACTCCAAGATGGAGCAGCAAGACAAGGGCCACCAGTACTCTCAGCAGGAAGATCCCAGGCTCCTCAAACCCACAGGCATCCCCACTCTAAACCTGCAGTCCTGGTTGGAGTCCCCAGTCAGAGGACCTGTTGGCACCTGGGCCTCAGGCCCTGGCTGGTGTCCCCAAATGGGTGCAGCCACATGCAACCAAACCTGGAGTCTCCTCCAAAGCAGTCCTCTAGGCCATGGTAGCAGTGATAGTGGCAGTGGTTGTTGGAAGCTATCAAGTCAAAAGCAGTGGTGGCTACAGCTGCAACTGCTGCTGTGGGGACAGCATCACCAGGCGATATCTGGGGGTCAGCAGCAGTGTTGGCTTCAGTTGCATCTGGGGCAACGGTGTCTTCTGTGGAAGCAGTATCCAGAAAGAAAACCTCCAGGCAACCTCAGGCTGGCAGTAGCAGAATCAGAGGCAGCAGCAATGTCTGTAGTGGTACAGGTGGAAGTTGATTGACAGAAGATTTCCAGTTCAGCGGCAGAGACCCTGGAGGTAGCGATGGAAGTAGTGTCTGAGGTAACTGAGCCAACCAAGGCTGTGCCCAGAGAAGAGACCTTCTGGAATGGCAGCAGTGTCTGTGGGGCAGCAGCGTCTGCGGCAGTGGCCCATCATCATCATCTTTTAAAGGCCTTCAAGTGTAAGTGATAAGAGCAGCTCCCTAGAGTATTGTGACCTACTTATATAATGATGTTTTTATTGTATTTCGAAAAATAGGAAAGAATCAATTTGCCCTAATATGCACTAATGTTTTTCAGGAAGGAAAATTTTACTGGCCTATAATTATATTAGCTATCCCTTAACAGGAATACAAAAGCAAAGATTGTATTTTATTACTCCATACATTAGCTCCTTCTCAGTTTAGTTGTGTAAATTCTGACTTTTACTTTATTTTAGACACATTGACTATAAGTGTCTTAATTTTTATAAACTATTTTTCATAGCTTAAATCAATTAGTCATTTAAATAATTTTCAAGTAAATAATTCTTGCAATATTTTGCTTTCTTGCTATGTTTCAAGATTGCCCACTGTGGTTCTCTTTATGGTTGATACCTGATTGTTTCTACAAAATTAAAATCACATTTCAGATTACTGACTTCTATCAGAGTAATGGGGTGCTCTATTCCTAGTACTTATTCCCTTGATTTAGTTATATAAACCTCCCAATACAACAGTTTGGAACTTTTTAAAAATCAAAAGTGCCTTTTGAACATTTGTAAAAATTATTGATCCTATTCCCAGACACAAGCATAAAGTTCCATTCTTACAAAATTATAAAAATAATTTCAAAGTTAAGGTTCAAAACCTTTGCTTTAATGACAATTTCCCATTCTAACTAAGTTATTCAAACATTATTACAAGTATACCACTCCATTTTTAGGTTGTACTTGTCTAGTAAAAAAACCTAACCAATTTGATAAATTTTCATCTTTAACTTTCTCATTTTTTCAACATAACTCACTCATTCATCATTCATCATTCATTTACTTTCTGCTGTTACATGCCTGATATTCTGTGACATACTGAGACTACAAAGGTAAGACTCAATCCTTACTATTGAGGAGCTTATACATAATCTTGGGAAGTCTATCTGTCTATCTATCTATCTATCAATCTATTTACAAATAATGTGTATGCAGTGTGACAAGGGCCATAATGAAGATATGTATAGTACACACAGAAGGGAAGAATGAGAAGCCTTCCTGGAGAAGATGGCCTGAAGCAATTGTTTAAGAATAACAATAAATTGTTAGGCTGAAATAAATTTGTTGGTGAGGTGGGAAAGAAAAAGATGAAGGAGATAATTGAATTAGGAAACAGAAATACAGATGGAGAGTATGAAGAAGTATTACATGTTTCAGAAATAACAGTAGAAATTTCAATAACACAAATATTCACTTAAAACTAAATAACATTAGAGTAAGTCTTCCCGAAAAAAGTATGTATTGTATATTTACCTAATTCTTATATTCTCACCTACTATCCAGAATTGGAACATCCGTGTTGCTCTGTACATTATAAACTGCAATTGTACCATTGTGATAGCCAACTGCTAGCAGGTTAGGTGTTCCAATTGAAAAATCCACAGCAGTAACTCCATATGGACTCTGATAAATGCGTTCTGGCCACTGAATAAAGAAATAATTATATTTTAAACTTGTTTTCATAGATGATAGATAGTAAGGCAAGATATGAAAGTGGCTGAGACTAATCTGGTGGCAGTAGGGAGGTGAAAAAAAATCAGTTCACATTCAGTTACTCCTGTCTTCCTAACTCTATTATAGATAAAAATAAAATAGTTTTATTTTTATCAAAGTTGAATCAATCGTACTTGATATCTTTAATAAATGTGTCACTGGATTCTATAATACTATAGTATTTTGGTATTCTTTCAGCAGGATTACTATGAGCATCACATATCTACCTTCTTATGGAAACAAATAATGGGTAACAAATCATCTAGCATATATTTCTATATTCCAGTATTTATTTTAGACCTGTGTGACCTATTATATCTAACATAGAAAAATACACCAAAACATTCTAATTTGCTCTGCTGTACAAGTCCATCCAGTGTAATCTAAATTCTTTCCTCTTTCTAACCACACATGTGGAAAAGAAGACAAGTTACTGATAAATTCTCTGTGGATCCTTCCATATGTAGAACAATTTGCTTTTTTCTTTTATGCTATATAAACTTAGTGCCCTGACAGATTGGGGTTATTTAGAAAAAACTAACCACTTTTTATATACTCTTTAAACACTTCTCTACTTTTCCACTCTGCATTTCAGTTGCTTTTTATTTATTTTGTACTGGGGATTGAATACAGGGTACTCTACTACAGAGCTACTGAGATACTCACATTTTCATTTGCTTATTTTGAGACAGAGTATTGCTAAATTGCTAAAACTGGCCTTAAACTTGCAATCTCCTGTCTCATCCTCCTGAATAAATGGGATTACAAATGTGTGCCACCTCTCCCAGTTTAGATTTCAGTTTGGAATTAAAACTAAAGTAACAGACTGACCAGGCCTTTTTAGAAAAACAGATTACCATGATTCTTACTTATTCTTTTTTAAAATTAATGACAATAAGAAAGTCAACTTATTTTATATCTATTGAGGATAGCAGAGGTCATGTGATAAAGACCGATTCATAATGTTAAGAAACAATCAAGTCTAAAAAGAAATGTTTAATTTTTAAAGAATTTTCATTTGTATATTCATTCTTCTTTATAATTAGCTGTGATTATATAATTAATACTGGTTCAATTCTGCATCATCAGATCTAATAGCATATATAAGATGCTCAATAAATACTTATTAAATGAATTCATGAATGAATTCCCTTTACCCTATATAATCAAAAACATATTTTAATTATTATAGAGATAAACCAATGAAAATGAAGAAAAAAAATCCTAACAAAATTTTCTGAAATTTATTTATTATATAAACTATAAACTTTATGAGAATTTTGTCAACATTTAAATAATTAAACATGATTATTATTTCTGTTTGGGTTACCATGGGATTCTTTATTGACCAGCAGCAAGCCAATCCTCTATTTTGCTCTCGAAATCCAAAGTGCCCATAGCCCACAGCCAAAAGGTCCTAAAAAACAAATAAAAAATAGATTTAAAATAAAAGAAGACAGGGTAGGAATGTAGCTTAGTGATAGAGCACTTGCCTAGCATATGTGAGGCTCTGCGCTCAATACCTAGCCCAGCAAAAAATAAAAATTAAAATTAAAAATTACAAAAATATTTGGAAATATATAAAAATATCTATTAATTAACTATCTTAAACAATGCTGGCAAAACTTTTTGATTGCAGAAAAAATACCAGTAGAACATCTGTTTTCACCCTGTCCCTCCATTTTCCTAAGTAAATAAAATCAATCAGTATAATCCTCATTTTTGGGCTAAGGAATAAATATCTACAAAGAACTAATTGGTAAGTTCAGTGGTGCAATCAGTACTTAAAAGAACTCATTGCTAACAAGTTCTCTTACATATTGACATAATCTTCCCAAGACTGTTAAAGACATTTGTGTTAAAGGCAGATGCTATGGAATGAATGTTTCCCCCACAAAATTCATATATTGAAGCCTTAACTTCCAATAAAATTGACTTTGAAGATCGGGCTTTTTTGAAGGCATCAGAGCTCTGTCTTTTCCATGTAAGGATACACTGAGAAGGAGGTTGGAAGAGATTCACTGGGAATAAAATCAGCCAACACTCTGATCTTAGACTTCCAGACTACAGAACTGAGAGAAAATAAATTACTGTTGTTTAAGATGCATAGTTTATGGCATTTTGTTATGGCAGTCCAAGCTGACTAATATGGCAGGTCAGTTCAAAAATGCATATGTAAATAAATATGGACAAAAGTCCAATGACTGACCAAACCCAGATAATCAGAATAACTTGATTTTTAAAATATTATATTTTCTGGTTACCACCCAACTTTAAAAACCAATGTCATCTCTCCACAATTCCCTCTGCTTTAAGACTGTTTTCAGAATTACCCTTTCATCAGACATTAATAAACCCCTGTCATCTCTTTGAGATTCTACATAGGCACTACTCTAAGAAGCATTCTCAGTACCAAAGAGACTCTCTTTCGTACTCCCACAGTATTATTTATTTTTTTTAACCAAAGCATATGGAAAAGTATTCTATGGGGCACACTCTATGTGTAACTCAATTACTGCTGCACCTTAACAGATTGCCAGCAGAGTGACTGTCTAATAAACTTCTGCAGAATAAATTAATAAATATTATATGCCATATAATGTACCATATCTAATATATTTCTTTTTAGTTTCATTCAAAACAATTTAATTTAATCCCAATAGCAATGAATTAATTTTTAAAATGCAAGATTATTCACTTACTGAAAATGTTTCATACATCTTTATTAAAGACTGCTATTATAGTAGTAAATCCCATTTATTTATAAGATGTCCCAAAATGTGGTTTTTTGAAGACAAATCTGTAGCAAGCCTACTTTATTTTATTAAAAATAATAAACATAATAAAATGATGTGTCATTTAGGTTTCAATACAAATAATTATACATAAATGACAACTATTACATTTGCACACATAACCTGATAAAATGTGTTAATGAAGTAATAAGACTAATTCTTCTTTTATTTTCAATTTGTTCATTTCAGTTACACATGAAAGCAGAATGCATTTTCACATATCATACATACATGGAGTATATCTTCCCATTCCTGTGGTTGTACATGATGTGGAGTTACACTGTTCACATATTCATATACAAACACAGGAAAGTTATGTCTGATTCATTCTGTTGTTTTTAATCTGCCCTTCCTTCCCACCATTCACCCCTGTCCAATCCAGTAACCCCCTTTCTTCCCTTCCTCACTGCCTATTATGAGTCAGCATCTGCATATCAGAGAGAACATTTGGCCTTAGCATGATAGTATCCAGTTACATCCATTTATTGGCAAATTCCATAATTTCATTGTTTTTTATGGTTGAGTAATATTTCGTTGTGTATATATACCACATTTTCTTTATCCATTCATCTATTAAAGGGCACCTAGGTTGATTCCATAATTTAGCTATTGTGAATTGAGCTGCAATGAACACTGATGTGGCCACATCGCTACAGTATGCTGATTTTGAATCCTTTGAATATATGTCAAGGAGTGGGATAATTGTGTCAAATAGTGGTTTCATTCCAAGTTTTCTGAGCAATCTCCATACTGCTTTCTAGAGTGGTTTCACCAATTTGCATTCCCACCAGCAATATATGGGTGACCTTTTTTCACCACATCTTCACCAGCATTTATTGTTACTTGTATTCTTGATAATTGCCATTCTGATTGGGATGAAATGAAATCTCAGTGTCGTTTTAATTTGCATTTTTCTAATTGCTGGGGTGTTGAAAATCTTTTTCATATATTTGTGGACTGATTATATTTGTTCTACTGTGAAGTGCCTGTTCAGTTCTTTAGCCCATTTACTGATTGGGTTATTTGCTTTTTTGGTGTTAAGATTTTTGAGTTCTTCATGTATCCTGGAGATTAATACTCTACCTGAGGTGCAGGTGGCAAAGATTTTCTCCCATTGTGTAGGCTCTCTCTTCATGTCCTGATTGTTTCCTTTACTTGAAGAAACTTTTTAGTCTGACACCATCTCATTGATTCTTGATTTTATTTCTTGCACTTCAAGAGTCTTATTGAGGAAGTTGGTTCCTAAGCAGATATGATAGAGTTGGGCCTACTTTTTCTTCTAGAAGGCACAGGGTCTCTTTTCTAATGTGTAGGTCCATGAGGCATGTTGTTTTGTGCAGGGTGAGAAATAGAGGTCTAATTTCATTTTATTACAAATGTATTTCCAGATTTCCCAGCACCATTTGTTGAAGAGGCTATCTATTCTTCAATGCATATTTATGGACCCTTTGTTTAGTATGAGATAACTGTATTTATGTGGATTTCTCTCTGTGTTTTCTGTTCTGTACTATAGTCTTCATGTCTGTTTTAGTGCCAATACCATGCTGTTTTTGTTACTATATGTTTGTAGTATAATTTAAGGTCTGGTATTATAAAGCCTCCTACTTCACTTCTCTTGCAAAGCATAACTTTGGCTATTCTGGGCCTCTTATTTTCTCCAAATGAATTTCATGACTGTTTTTCTATTTCTATGAAAAACATCATCAGTACCTGAATAGGAATTGCTGTGAATTAGTATAGCACTTTTGGTAGTATGGCCATTTTATTTATTTTTTATTGGTTGTTCAAAACATTACAAAGCTCTTGACATATCATATTTCATACATTTGATTCAAGTGGGTTATGAACTCCCATCTTTACCCCGTACACAGATTGCAGAATCACATCGGTTACACATCCACGTTTTTACATATTGCCATACTAGTGACTGTTGTATTCTGCTATCTTTCCTATCCTCTACTATCCCCCCTCCCCTCCCCTCCCATCTTCTCTCTCTACCCCATCTACTGTAATTCATTTCTCTCCCTTGTTTTTTTTTCCCTTTCCCCTCACATCCTCTTATATGTAATTTTGTATAACAATGAGGGTCTCCTTCCATTTCCATGCAATTTCCCTTCTCTCTCCCTTTCCCTCCCACCTCTCATCCCTGTTTAATATTAATCTTTTTCTCATGCTCTTCCTCCCTGCTCTGTTTTTGGTTGCTCTCCTTATATCAAAGATGACATTTGGCATTTGTTTTTTAGGGATTGGCTAGCTTCACTTAGCATAATCTGCTCTAATGAGTATGGCCATTTTAACAATATTAATTCTGCCTAACCAAGAGCATGGGAGATATTTCCATCTTCTTAGGTCTTCTTCAATTTCTTTCTTTAGCATTCTCTAGTTTTCATTGTAGAGGTCTTATACCTCTTTTGTAATTTTGATTCCCAAATATTTTATTTTCTTTCAGGCTATTGTCAATGGACTAGTTTTCCTAATTTCTTTTTCAGTAGATTCATCATTGATGTATAGGAAAGCAATTCATTTATGGGTGTGAATTTTATATCCTGCTACTTTGCTAAATTAATTTATGAGATCTATAAGTTTTCTGGGGCAATTTTTTTTGGGGGGGAGTTGTTCTAAAAATAAGCATGTTGTCACTAAATAGGGATAGTTTAACTCTTCTTTTCCTATTTGTATCCCTTTTATTTCTTCTCTCTAATTGCTCTGGTTAGAGTTTCAAGGAATATATTGAGTAGAAGTTGTGAAAGAGGGCATCCCTGCCTTGTTTCAGTTTTTAGAGGGAACACTTTCAATTTTTCTCCATTTAGAATGACATTTGCTTTGTTTTACCATATATAGCTTTTACAATGTTGAGATATGTTCCTACTATTCCTAATTTTTCTAGTGTTTTGAAAACAAGTGGATGCTGTATATTGTCCAATGCTTTTTTCAGCATCTATTAAGAAAATCATGTGATTCTTGTCTTTTAAGTCTATTGATGTGATGAATTACATTCATTGATTTCTGTATGTTGAACCAACTTTTCATCCCTTGGATGAACCCCACTTGATCATGGTGCACTATCTTTTAAATATGTTTTTGTATAAAATTTATCAGTATTTTATTAAGAATTTTTGCTTCTATGTTCACCATGGATACTGATGTGAAGTTATTTATCCTTGATGTGTCTTTGTCTGGTTTTGGTATTAGGGGGCTTCATAGAATGAGTTGGGAAAGGTTCCCTCCTTTTCTATTTCATAGAATAATTTGAGGAATGTTGGTGTAAATTCTTCTTTGAAGGTCTGGTAGAACTCAGTTGAGAATCCATGTGGTCCTGGGATTTTCATTGTTGGTAGACTTTTGATGATGTCTTCAATTTCATTGCTTGCAATTTATCTGTTTAGATGTTCGATGTTCTCCTGATTCAATTTGGGTAGGTCACATGTCTACAGAAATTTGTCAATGTCTCCAAGTTCTTATATTTTATTAGAATTTAAGTTTTCAAAACAAGTTCTGAATGTAGTCTGTATTTCAGTAGTGTCTGTTGTGTTATTTCCTTTTGTATCACAAATTTTAGTAATCTGAGTTTTCTATTTCTCTTTGTTAGCTTGGCTAAGGGTTTATTAATTTTATTCATTTT